AGGCTCACCAGGTTTGAGTTTTACTAAAAACCTGGTCATTGAAGTTTGTTTTTGCCTTCTAAGAATGTTCCTGAAGTGTGACATTGTCTGGTTATTCCACACAATACTGTTACGGCTTGTTAGAGCTTTATTGTGGTGGTATTTTTCTGCAAAACTTTGCACTTTCATCCATTTTGCACACATTTCTTTAATAAGTGAAGTATGGGTTTCCTCTATCTCCCCTCCTCGCCTGAAGAGAGTGCATCCATCTTCACCTGGTGTTCCTCCCTCTCAGGCTGCTGCAGCTCCTCAGTGGTTAGCTCTTCTTTTGTGCCCCTCCACTAACTCCTCCACATCATTATCATTGACCTCCAGGCCCATGGACCTGCCCAGAGAGACAATATCCTCCACAATAGGCACAGCCTCAAAGCCCTCAAAGTCCCTCTCAATTACGGCTTCTGGCCACAAATTCCTCCAGGCAGAGTTCATGGTCTTATCGGAAACTTCCTGCCAGGCTTTGTGTATAAGAGTTATACAGTGCACAATATTAAAATGCTCTATCCAGAACTCTGAGGGTTAATTCTGTGTCAGAGGTCACTTCAAAGCGCCTCTGAAAGAGTGCTTTGGTATACAGTTTCTCAATTTTTGAAATGACCTGCTGGTCAATGGGCTGAATGAGAGGAGTCGTATTAGGGGGCAAAAACTTCACAGTGACGAAGTCGAACTCCGGCAGCACATCGTCCTGCAAGCTTGGAGGGTGTGCAGGAGCAGTGTCCATAAGAAGGAGGGCCTTTAGAGGCAGTTGTTTCTCCTCTAAATATTTTTTTACACGGGCCAAACACAACATTGAACCATTCACTGAAGAATTGTCTCATCATCCAAGCCTTTGAGTTTGACCTCCACATGACTGGTAACTGGGTCTTTTGTACATTTTCCGAGTGGTAGATTAGCAGAGGCTTGAGTTTAAAATCCCCACTTGCATTGCCACACAACAAGAGAGTTAGCCTGTCCTTCATTGGCTTGTGCCCTGGCAATGCCTTCTCCTCTTGTGTGATATAGGTCCTGTTTGGCATTTTCTTCCAAAACAGGCCTGTCTCGTCACAATTAAAAAAACTTGTTGGGGAACAAAACCCTAAGCCTCTACAAACTCCCAAAACTCGGTAACAAATTCCTTTGCAGCATCTTTGTTGGCACTGGCCGCCTCCCCATGCCTCACAACACTATGTATGCCAGTCCTCTTCTTAAAATTATCAAACCATCCATGGCTGGCTTCAAACACTCAACTCATATTTTCACTCGTTCCTGGCATGTCTTTTAAAAGATCAGCATGCAACATTTTTGCCTTCTCGTAAATTATAGCCTCTGAAACACTATCGCCGGCTTACTGTCTTTCGTTTATCCATATTAATAACAATTTTTCTACTTGCTCTAATGTCCGTGATCTTTGTTTTGATATAAATTTCACCCCCTTTGCAACGTTTTTTTTTCACAATCGTCGAAATTGTTGTTCTCGGCATACGGTATGCCACCGCAAGATCAGTGACGCGCATGCCGCTTTCATACTTTTCTATGATCTCTTTTTTCACGTCAATAGTGATCCTAACCATTTTCTTTGCAGCTTGGCTTTTCTCACTAACCTTCTTAGGACCCATCTTGAATAAATTCACAAAAAATTCACGTTAAAATGACAAAAAACACGTGAAAATTCACAGAGAGTTATAGCAAGTATTATGCACTGAACGAGATCTACTAGACAGGCAGACTGAGGAGCGGCGCTTTGTTTCAGTCGTGAACGGGGGTATACGCAGGTACGCGGTGACTCATCCCGACCCATACAAGTTCTAGCAAACGTGTCGTATCCCAAGACTTTTTTCTCGTCAAAAAACGACGTATACCTAATTCGACGTATTCCAAAGCGGTCGTATACCGAGGTATGACTGTATTTGGACAATACCAGTCCAGAAGTTTATTTCAGAGTCAGAATAAGTTTATTTCCCGAGTGAAGTCCATTGAACTAAGAAGCTTATTTTCAAGGGCGACTCAGCCGGCAGACATCAAAGCATTTAATTATATCTTCTTTGGTTCTTTCGGTAAAGTCACGTAGAATGAGAATAAAATAATACATTGATAAAATAAAATAACACAATAATATTCTCACGACGTTTCGGCCACAACACAAGTGGCCTTCATCAGGTGAAGGGGACGAGACTGTCTGGAGGACAGCGCTGGAGTGAGAAAGCCACGCTGAGATCACGACCTTTAAGCTGTGTGAGAAGAAACAAAGCGCCTTGACAAAGGAATTAGCATATAATTTAGCATTGAAATGCTTTGTTTCTTCTCACACAGCTTAAAGGTCATGATCTCAGCGTGGCTTTCTCACTCCAGCGCTGTCCTCCAGACAGTCTCGTCCCCTTCACCTGATGAAGGCCGCTTGTGTTGTGGCCGAAACGTCGTGAGAATATTATTGTGTTATTTTATTTTATCAATGTATTATTTTATTCTCATTCTACGTGACTTTACCGAAAGAACCAAAGAAGATGAATCCTTGCAGTCACGAAAGCTTTAAATCGACATTTAATTATAATTAAGATCACTCACTGGCCCACTCACTCGTCTACCATTCCACCCTCCCACTCTATAACTCGCTCAATCATCAATCCACACACTCATCCATCCACTCGTCCACACAAGCACACTCACCTACTCACTCTCCCACTCGCCCTCTCACTCGCCCTCCCACTCACAATCAGAAGTGAATTTCACGAGTAACACCCATTGAGCTTAGACGCTATTTTTTAAGGGCGACATGGCGGGCAGACATCAACGCATTCCAAAATTACAGGTTGTCAAAACAAACTTAATAGCAATTCTGTTGTAAAATTACATTTCCACTCAATCTTTAGTGATTTAATAATAGAGTCACTTCTTTAAAATGTTTCTTGCCGTTGCTTTTCACACCTGATGACGACCGTTTGTGTTATGGTCGAAACGTCGTGAGAATTTTTATTGTTTTATATATATTTTATTATTTTATTGTTTCCCTTCAACGTGACTTTACCGAAAGAGCTAAGAATATGAATTACTGCAGTCACGAAAGCTTTAAATCAAAATTTAATATAAGTAGCACGAATTTTCTCCACAAATACTAAGAGCTACTTTATAATTGTTTTATAAAACATGGCTATTATTGCGGCCACGTTTTTACGTGAGGGAATCACACTTATGCACACGTTTTCTCTTTGAAAATAGATACATTTCTAAATATCACTGTCCTGCTCACACAAAACAACTTGGAGGGGAATAATAGCCTGTTTCTGTACTCATGAGGCATAAGCATCCACCGACTATCACTTACTGGACAGGGCCTAACAAATATATTGAATGCTATTACGTCTTCATTCTAACATTTTTACACTTGCCCCCTCAGTACGGGGGTTGAGCAGTGACGTTATGTCAATTATGCTTAATTGGTGCGCATCTCATAATTACAGGTAGGATAAGTTGTTTTTTATTCATTGACTTTCATTTGTTTACCGCTTTTTCTTGCGCTATAAGTATTTGCACAAAAATGGCGGAACACCATCGCCTTCGTTCTTAATTACTTATTACACACGCCTGCATTTCCCCTCTTCCTTGCTTCTTTCGCTAAAGTCACGCAGATAGAAAACTATTATTTAAAAACTTACTTAGTAAATATAAAAATAAAAATGTGTGTGTACACGTCCATGTGTGCGTGTGAGTCCATGAATGTGTGTGCGTCGTGTGTGTGTGGGTCGATATATGTGTGTGTGACAGTCGCTGTGTTTGTATGTGTAAGTTCATATGTGTGTGTTAGTCCATGTGTGTGTGTAAGTCCATGTATGTGTAGAGACGTAAATAGCGTCCCTACGGTGTATACGCCGAATGCAACTACGAATGCTACAAGAGGGTGCACGTAACTCTGGAGGGAGCCAACGGAGACGTGACGGGGAAGCAGGCCCTGCTCGGCAGGGCCCCATCGCAGAGGGAGAGAGGGGACGTGTTGGCTCAGGGGAGTTAAGGGGGCCCGTAAATGAGGGCCCGAGGACATGTGACGCTGGGTCCGGTTCCGTCTCGACAGACCGAGGAGGGGGCGTGGCCGGGGGCGGAGCGAGACCACGCTCGGGGAGGATAAGAGGAACGGGGGCGGAGCGTTGGGGCAGTCCAGTGGGGGAAACTGACGGTGCGGCGACTTAGGGAGTCGGGGGGCGTCAGTCGTCGGGGACTCAGTTATAGGGAGACACCCTTTTTGGGGTCTTGTGTAACCCCGAGTGTTGTGTTATATCTAGCCCTGGAAGTGGAAATAAATCGTGGTGCCTTCAGACCTCAGTGTGTGCCTAGTCCGATACACACTACATATGTGTAACTCCATGTGTCTGTGCGTGTAACTCCATGTGTCTGTGTGTGTAAGTCCATATGTGTGTGTAAGTCCATGTGTGTGTGTAATTCCATGTGTGTGTGCGAGTCAATGTGTGTGTAAGTCCATGTGTGTCTCTGAGTGGATGGGTGTTTGTGTGTGTATACGTCGATGTATGTGTGTGTGAGTCGATATGTGTGTACGTCCATATGTGTGTGTATAAATGTACGTGTGTGTGTGAGTCGATATATGTGAGTCGTTGCGTGTGTGTGTGTAAGTCAATGTGTGTTTGTGTCTTTTTCGCCCGGGCAACGCCGGGTACTTCCCGATAGTATTAAATGTATTAGGGCATCCAGGCATGAAACTGACCACTTGCCTGCTATGCAAGGCCAAGAGCTGATCGTCAATAGTAGCACGTGCCTTAAAACAGCCTGTGTGATGAATTGGGGGTGATTTTTTATTCATTTCTCGTTAATGTTTGAGTGTTCTTGCCTATGTAATATGTGAATATCACGTGTGACTGTGTATATATATGCATTCCTATGCTGGCATACATTGCGTGGATATTACTGTTTTCTGTCTGCAGCTGCCAGTTCCTCTGCCACTTTGCTGTACAGAATTGGTCGGATGGAGCGAAGACAATCAGCAGGAGATAAACCATTCAAGTGCATTGTGTGTGGGAAGGCATTTGCACATCCATCACTTCTTAAAAGACACCAGAGAAGTCACACAGGAGAAACACCCTTCAATTGCACTGTGTGTGGGAAAGCCTTTGCAAAGTCATCACGTCTTAAAACACATCAGAGAACACACACGGGAGAGAAACCCTTTAAGTGCACTGTGTGTGGGAAGGCTTTTGCAGAGTCATCACATCTTAAAATACACCAGAGAAGTCACACAGGAGAGACACCCTTCAAGTGCACTGTGTGTGGGAAGGCATTTGCAAAGTCATCACATCTTAAAACACACCAGAGAATACACACAGGAGAAAAACCCTTCAAGTGCACTGTGTGTGGGAAGGCCTTTGCAAAGTCATCACATCTTAAAACACACCAGAGAATACACACAGGAGAAAAACCCTTCAAGTGCACTGTGTGCGGGAAGGCGTTTGCAGAGTCATCACATCTTAAAATACACCAGAGAAGTCACACAGGAGAGACACCCTTCAAGTGCACTGTGTGTGGGAAGGCCTTTGCAAAGTCATCACATCTTAAAACACACCATAGAATACACACAGGAGAAAAACCCTTCAAGTGCACTGTGTGTGGGAAGGCCTTTGCAAAGTCATCACATCTTAAAACACACCAGAGAACACACACAGGAGAAAAGCCCTTCAAGTGCACTGTGTGTGGGAAGGCGTTTGCACATTCATCAGTTCTTAAAAGACACCAGAGAATACACACAGGAGAAACACCCTTCAAGTGCACTGTGTGTGGGAATGCCTTTGCACAGTTATCACATCTTAAAACACACCAGAGAAGTCACACAGGAGAAACACCCTTCACGTGCACTGTGTGTGGGAAGGCCTTTGCAACGTCATGTCTTAAAACACACCAGCGAACGCACACGGGAGAGAACCCCTTCAAGTGCACTGTGTGTGGGAAGGAATTTTCACTGTCAACATATCTTAAAAAACACCAGCGAACACACACAGGAGAAAAACCCTTAAAGTGCACTGTGTATGGGGGGAAGGGTTTTCGACAGTTTGGGGATCGAAACAAGCATCAAAGCATTAATCAGGAAATAAATCTGAAATCGGCTTGTGAAAGTCAAAGTTCTGCAATGAGTCCATCCCTCATGAAACAAGAACCAGAAAAACATTTGAGATATGAAACGTGGCCAGGAGTGAAGGCAAAATGTCAAGAAGTGAAAATGAAATTTGAGTCGGTGAAGGTCAAAAGTGAAGAAGTGATAGTGAAATGTGAGGATGAAGATTCAACTCCAAAATCCGACCTTCACGTTGATCGAGGCAGCGTGAAGCTGGAGGATACTGTGGATTCTGAGGCAGAGCGAGGTAACTCCCAGCAATTTGTGGATGTGGAGGTGTGGGTGGATTTTTTAGGCAATAATTCAAATGTAGATCAAGTAGATGTATATCATAGAGCTTAAGACAAAAGTTCCATTTCATTCACAGGCCTTTCCCATAATAGAGTTTTTTTTGGGTTAGATCACGTAAATATTTCAATTTATCGTTAAAACCCGCCACCACCCGACACAGCCACCTAGTAAGGGTTGTCACGTAAACAGAACATGCCAATTCGTCACTAGTACAGCACACCGGCGTGTTGAAGAGCCAAGCCACAACATTTACAATCTCAGTACGACGTTTCGCCAATCATTACAACTAGCTTGATCAGGCGACAGCCAGATTTATGCCTTTCCCATTAAAATGGTTTAACCTCCAAGTAGTCAATAGAGGCAGCGTGAAGCTGGAGGAGGCTGCGGACTGAGAGAGGGTGAAATGAAACCTAACAGTTTGTGGAGGTAGACTTTTGGAGGATGCAGAGTAGGCGCGGCCAGCATGTGTGGACTTGGAGGTTGGGTAGATCTGTAAGCAGGAGCGGGAGACAAAAAAGCTCCATAGCATTCAACGTGTTATAATATTTAGATTAATATTGGCACTTGCATGAATGTTTATTTCTTTCTCACTATACGTAGCCAATCTTGCTAATCAAAGGTGAAATGCTTCAGCAACTAAAAGAGGCTTGTATCATATTTCATCTCAATCGTTCGACGGCTAGCCCAATTGGCAGCTGTCCCTTTGTGCTACAAGGTGACTCAGTACCGACCTGCACGTGGACACGAGTCTGCCAGTAGGGTGGAGCGATTATGAATGTGTAACCTGTTGTATATATAGGCCTTTTTCCAAAAATTGATATTAAAAATAATTCTGCGATTTTATAATAATCGATAAAATAAATAAATAAAACACCCTCGAACCCGCTACCTCCCACAAGCACCAAGCATCTGGAGGTCGTAAAAGGCCATTCAATAATAAACTCCGGGGCAAAGGGAGGTTAACGACTATCTGCAAAAAATCTCCAGATTGCCAAAGGACAGTTCACAAACAAATATCCAGAATCACAGGCACAGACAGCACAGGGCAAACAGACATTATAACTGATATATATTTTTTGTACGGAAAAAGTTGAAGCTTGGCTATAAGAATAAGTCGACATTATAGACTGCAGTATTCCTTATGTGATTTATTATTGTATGTTTCTATCTACTTGACTTTACCAAGAGAACCAAAGTACATGAGTTACTGCAATCACGAAAACTTAAGTCCAAACTAAGCTATATCTCTGACCTCGAGAATAAAAAGCACGGATCCCTGGATGCAGACAGGGAGCAAAAAGTAATAAAACCCTTGAAATACCGGAGGTAACATCTAATGACATTACAAAGCTTGGTTAAACATAAACCAAATAATAATCACAAGAGATTAGACCTAGGGTAACTCATTAGAAGTAAAAGAAAATAGGTAAAACACACAAGACCAGATTATATGTATTCCATGAAATCAGAGCCTCCCCGGCCGCATTTCTCTTCCAACAATTTGACACAAACACATGGTAGCCATAAATCCGGATGAAAGGTGCATCCCCTCCCTTAGCAAACGCCACGAAGAGAGGGGTTGGGAGTGCAAACAAACATCAATTTGATGTAAAGCAGCCCGCCCGGGGTCACCAAGGGAAGAGGGGGGGGCAATCAGGCGCGGCCGCGGGGGGAGAGCATGACGGAGTAAGCATTTGTTTTTTTCTCTCGCAAGAGACGCGCAGAGGGGAGATTTTTCGGATATAAACAGCAACACGACACAATTCAGCTCGACATGGGGAGCTCGGCAAGGGAGAGCGAGACAGTAGCTCAGAAGAGGACAGCGAGACAGCAGCTCGGAAGAGGACAGCAAGCCAGCTCCGGGGCATGGCCTCGAGATCAACAATGCGTGTGGTGCATCGCGGAGAAGAGGGGCGAGGTGATGTTAGGTGCTGAGTAGCGACATGCTACGCCATGCGAATTCAGCGCCATCAGAAGAAGTATCGCTCGAAAATCATTCCGCTCTGGGCATCGACTCACAAGAGCCACTGCAGTTCAAGCTAAGCTGACGAGAATTCCAGCATCATCCGCGAGAGAGGGTGGAAAGCGCCAAACGTCGACCAAGCCTGCCATCAACGAACGAAAGCATCGTTCATTGCCAGAGAGCCGGAGCCGGAGAGGGCGCGCAGTCGCGCCACCAGCACCACCAAGCAAGGGTGCCAGCGGACCAGCGTTGTGCCGACTCGGCTCATCCAGCTGGGGAAAGAGTCTGACCAGCCGCCCGTGAGCGCCAGCGAGCGAGCCGTGGGTTCGACCCACACGCACACCGACCAGCACCAGCTGGGAACCAAGGCAAGAGTGAGGAACTGCAGCCAGTGGACGAGCTGCGGGCGCTATCTGACGACGGATCATCGCGCACCGACGGCGAGCGTCGTGCCGACTCTTCCACCCAACTGTGGACCGAAACCGTGGCCGCCCCCGAGCAAGAGAGTGAATGAAGCCGTTTGTATGACCCTCCCCCACACTCACACCCTGACGACGCATCGCCCAGCGTCTGCTTTACACAAAGAATTGAACAAGTGGCAAAGAAGACACAACACACATATCGGGACAAATAAGATTGTTAAAAAAAGTTATCTTGGTGTTTCAAGAAGGGTTGCCATTCCAAGGTGGTGCATTAAATATCAACTGATCGTGAAGAACATTGCTGCCTATTGAGTTACGTGGATACGGTCATTTAGAAGTATTTTAGTCGTTCGTTTTTTTTAATTGCATAATCTTACAAATGAATTAATTGATAACTACTCTTGCCTTCGGGACATGTTTCTTTATTGCCCTTTGTATGAATATCGTTGCATGAATTTTTTATGACTTTTCCTCTCGCCGTGTATGCTCGCATACTCTGAGGAATAATCGATTGTACTGTTACCCAGTTAACAAACGTGACCATTGAGGGTTAAATGTATGGATCAATGAGGGGAACATCTCCAGGAGTACTGTGTTGACAATTCCACGCATAAGAGTTCGCATATTAGAGTGTTAAGGTTTTGTTTAGAAATTAAAATTGCTTAACACAGAAGTGTTTCAGTGTTTCTTTCCTAAGTTCCTGCATAATAATCTTAATTATAAGAACTGTATCCTGCGGTGAGATTTGAATTTGGAGACCTGATATAAACACACTAAGACATAATCAGTAAATGTTAAAGCGAAAATAATTGTATTATACCGATTGATAATACAACCCTAGACAACGAAGCCGAGCTTAATCTAGCATACTTACTTCACACCTGCATAACTTCATACAATTCATTGTCTTATCCCGATTGATAATACTCCCCTCGACAACGAGATTAAACCTAATTATCATAACTACATACATTAGCATAATCACACACTCGCATAAATTAATACGATTATATCTTAATTAGCATAATCTATGCACACAATTACATCGATTAACATAATTTCGGACAATTAATCATAATCCCAAAATTCATTTAATTTTTATTATTTTCATTACATTTTCAATACCCGGCATATACAACAAACCCCAGTCGGGTAATTTGTTAAGCAGATGGTGCATATTTTTGGTCAATATTGCTGCAGTAATCATGAGGGCTGCCGGACAGAGGTGAACTGTGAACCTCTTTAAACATATATCAACCGTGCTATCACTTGGCTTCTCGCATTCTAAGAATGCATGCAGGTGTAGGCATCCATTCAGAGATCAGTGTACAGTAAATGCGATGTAATGTGATGCAGTATATTTCAATGCAATCCTTTAATGTTGGCGATGTGTCTCTTGATAATTTAGAGTTATAATTTTCACACATCTGATTCTGAGCATATACAGCAAAAGCTGTTAACCAGCATCCATGGGGAATCGAGGGTGCCAGTTCATCAATTGGGCCGGTTATCTGAGAGGTATACTTCATGGTTCAGAAAAATTCTCAAATGTAAAAACATTTTGAAATGAAGAAATTAAGTATACATTTTAATTATGATATTCAAAATTATTTACTATTTTACAGAGGTACTCACCAGTCATTTGGACAGCATTTTAAGTTTATTGTAGAGAAGCAGTGGTGCTGCTTAGATTACAGTGTACAGTAGTGTAGTACTGTATTACAGTGAAACAATTAGTGAAACAATTAGGTTAGGCAGCCCACAACACGGCGGATTGCAGATTGCAATTGCGACTCCATTAGCGCCACCACTCGGCAACGTCATAAAGCACGCTGCAAGATGCCAGAATTTTTCTCTAAACATGAATTAATATTTATTTTGCCGTTTTAGAGATGCCGGTTAATAGAACATTCCGCGTGGTAAAGTACGTGATAGAGATTTTGCTGGAAGTACCATTTGGTATAAAATGGTCAAAAATGGAATGTCCTAACTAGACGAACGTTTGTTTTGACAGTAACCTGTGCGGAACATTTACGTAACTGCTGTTGTTCATGTGATACAGGGTCAAAGGAATTTTTTGAAGCTTAGGAACCATGTCCCCAACTCATTGTCTTCGAAATCACGGATATAGTACACTTAAATGTTACATC